CACCGCTGCTTGTCCTGCCTGTCCCCCCCCAAATTTATCTCAAGTGTTTGTTTACTACTGGATTTGATTGGTCCAAGGAGCCCATTGAGTGCTAGTCTATTTCTATTTCTGCTGTATACTTAATTTATAAAACATTGTACAGAACATAAATGTATACATTTCGGAAAATAAACAACTTTAATTTAATCAATATACATTTTGCGGAAAATATTCATTGTTTGTAGTCTAACTGAACTCTTTCTATATTTTTGCCAGCCCCTGTTTTAAAAGCTTAGCTCCGCCTCTGAGGGGAAACTCCAGCTTCAGGCGGTTCAGCTTTCGGCCACATGGGGGCGCTGATCTGCGGAATCCACAGAGAGGCGAAAGTTTCTGCAGCGGGAAGGTTTTTACAGCTGATGGAGGATTTAATGACGCGTTTCAGCCATTTCCCTCCACTGTGACCCAGCTGCTGCTCCTCCAGAGGAACTGGTGTCAAACTGGTATCAAACTGGTCTGCAGACTGGGAAAGCTGGACCCAGAACTGCCTGGAAAAGTTTTCCGAGCTCGCGCTGATTGTACATCCTGTGAGACACTTATGATGATGTCACTGACACCCGTATGACCAAATAAGGAAAGGGACACATGAAACTCGGCTTTGATGCGGACCGTCTTCAGACCGGTGAGCAGCGTTTCAAATTGGACCGACTGGTTCCGACCCACCGCCCGCCTCCAGCCCGCGGCTTCAGCTCCTTTCTGGGGCCACAGAGCGAACGGCTCCGCCCTGAGAAGCTGCTCCGGTTCTAACCGGAACCAGAACCCAGGCAGCCGGACCCCGGAGGACCCGGAGGACTGAGGGGCCCCGGAGGGACCCGGTTCCTGAAAGTTGGGCAGAAAAACATGAGCTGCAAAACGGAGCGATAAAAGCGGCGGTGTTCGTGTCTGTTCGGCTTCACTTCGGCTTTCTAGGTGGGACCCGGAGACCCGGACCCGGAACACTCCCCAGAACTCGGAACCAGGATCCCAGCTGAGAAATGAGCGGAGAAGAGGAGAGACTGAAGCTGGTGGTGGTGGGAGGAGGAGGGGTGGGGAAGAGCGCGCTGACCATCCAGTTCATCCAGGTGGGTTCAGGTTCGGGTCCAGGTTCGGGTTTAACCGGGTCTGGAGGTTCTGATGTTTTAGGGGATCCTGCAGTAGAAGTGATGCTGCTGGATGATGGTTTGTTTAGAACCGAACCGAGTTTCCAGCAGAACTTCTCCAAAGCGAGAGGAAGAAGAACTGAAATTGATCCTGGATTTTTTTCACAGAAGTAAAAAGTCCAGGTTTGAAAGTTTCTCACTGACGTCAGAAGAACCTGGACTGGTTCCATCTGGAGCTCTGGGTTCCATCAGAACCCCCCATGGACCCGGTTCGGTTCTGACCTCAGCCAGATGTCAGTGGGACCTTTAAACCATGCCTGATGGTTGCTTTTGTAATCAGAGTACATTTTCCTCCAGATGACCTTTGCCCTCATGGAGGAGCGGTTCTGGTGGACCTTTGAACGTGTTGCTGATGATGTGATCAGCGGCTCGGCGCTCCCATTAGTTCTCCTGTTTCAGAGGATCTTCAAAGGTTCCTCTAATAAACATTAGAAAGGAGGAAGCGTCCTGTGAAGCCATCAGTGATCCATCTTCTCCTCATGCTGATGATGGGCTGAGGAGACGAAGACCTCAGTATTGTCTTGGTCTGAGTCGGTCCAGAACATCAGACTCTGGATCAGTTCTGGTTCCTGCACTGATCCCCATCTAGAAGATGAAGCTCGGTGTGTTTCTGGGGAGTTGGGTGGGTTAGTGTTCCTGACATCTTTGGGTCTCCTAGAAGACCGAGAGGCTGGATCATCTGGTACCACAGTGGCTTAGATGCTGCAGGACTTCAGCTGGAAGATGTTTGCTTAGAGAAGAGCAGGAAAAATCATCACACCCTGTGACCAAATATCTGTTACCTTATGAGGACAGAAGGACAATTTCACTTCCTCATGTGGAAGGTTCAGTTCTTGGGTTATGTTTAGGGTTAGGGGGTCTGTGTTGGTTGGGGGTCTGGGTTGGTTGGGGGTCTGGGTCAGATGGGGGGTCTGGGTCGGTCATGTTTAGGGGGTCTGGGTCAGTTAGGGGGTCTGTGTTGGTTGGGGATCTGGCTCGGTCATGTATAGTAGGATTGTCCATTGAAATGAATGGACAGTCCCCTAAGGGACAGTGGGATCTAATGTGTTTGTAAACAGTCTCTCATTCTCCGCCCTGAATCTTTCCTCTAGTCCTACTTTGTGTCAGACTACGACCCCACCATTGAAGACTCCTACACCAAGGTCTGCACCGTGGACGGGAAGGAGACCCGGCTGGACAGTAAGGAAGCACCACATCACACAGCAGGTTCTGGGTCTGAGGCGTCCCTGCTCCTCGTTTGGACTCGTTTGGACCTGCAGCCTGATTCTGAGGTGCTGCAGTCTTTAGAAGGGACTGGATGTGTCCCTGATTGTCCCCACTGAGGGACGCTGGTTGTATTCTGTTCTATGACCTTCCTGCCAAAGTATTCACACCCTTTAGTGTCCGTATGCTGCTACCTCACCAACACACTGAGCTCCAGGAGGTAGACCAACACCCAGACCTGCAGAACCAGAGCCAGGACCACAGAGGACCGCTGCTCCGTCAGGCTGGATGGAGGGAAAGTAGACTGGACTGGAAAGCAGCTTTCTAGCCTTTCCACAGATCCTGAACTTTGACTAGGCCATTCTGATCCACCTCTGATCCAAACCATCCACAGCATCTCATGCTGGATGTTCAGAAACCTTCTCCTGCTGGGAGTTGAACCCAGAACCATGCTGGATCCAGCAGAGCTGCAGGACCAGTGTTCATTTCATCAGCTTTTTAAATTTAGTCTTAGTCACAGTGACACAAATCTATTTTAGGCTTAGTCAAATTTTTGTCATTTTAGTCAACACTGTAAATAATAGAAATTCTCCACACTCAGCTTCTCTTTTCTCTGTTTTATTTATATCACACTGTGCAGAATAGAACTCCACTGCTTCTCTTTTTAACATATTTCCCTCTGCAGCCATTGAACCTTCAGTCAGATGGTTTCATCATTCTTCATTCCCTTCCTCCCCCAGCCGCTATAATCTGGCTGTGATGTCACTGTGTCAGGAATATGGTAGGGAGGACGAAATTTAAACGATTTATATCCTGCGTGTCCCAAGCCCATGACATCATCAATGACCCCTCACCCCCCCACCATGGACTGTTCTCCCTGCTGCTCCCTGGGAAGAGGCTTCCCAGCATTCAATGCAGGACCAGCAGGTTCCTCCCTCTATGGGGCCACTCGTTCCTCCTCCCGCCGCTACAGGCCTGCCCGTTCCTCCCGCCGCTATGGGGCCGCCCGTTCCTCCCGCCGCTATGGGGCCGCCCGTTCCTCCCGCTACGGGGCCGCCCGTTCCTCCCGCCACTACGGGCCCGCCCGTTCCTCCCGCCACTACGGGCCTGCCTGTTCCTCCCGCCACTACGGGCCCGCCCGTTCCTCCCGCCGCTATGGGGCCGCCCGTTCCTCCCGCCACTACGGGGCCGCCCGTTCCTCCCGCCGCTACGGGGCCGCCCGTTCCTCCCGCCGCTACGGGGCCGCCCGTTCCTCCCGCCGCT